AACAATTTCAGTCGAATTATGTGCTCTGTTGATTTGCTGTTTTTTTTTTTCTTCAAAACCAGAGCTCAGGTTGCACTGAAATTTGAATGTGTTTATTCCTCAGGAAATAAAAAAAGAAACGTTTATTATTGTGATGGCGCTTTAGGCGGATTGATACCAGAAGTGGATACAGTCCATTTAGAGACAAGATAACTGGTCTTAAAGGAACTTTTTGATCCAACTTTGGTGATTAATGTAATACGATTCAATCAGAAAAGATACATATTTAATATATGATATTTTTGTAATATTAGTGCTTAAACCTTGACTACGGAGAAGTTTGTAATAAGGAGGCTCAAACAGGTTAGTATCTAGTTCCACTAGCATCGGTGTTAGCATGCAGTNATTACCCCATTTTCATATTTTTTTCCCTATGTAGAAACATTTAAATGATCATATATATATATATATATATATATATATATATATATATATATATATATATATATATACATTTACCTCTATCTCCTACAGCTGATATGTTGATGGCTCTATTAGTTTTATTGTAAATTCTTCCCCCGTTACCTAGCAACCAACATTCTACCAAGAAATCTCTGGAACTCTTTGGCTAATACAGAAAAATAGCTTTCGGAAGAAAGATAACTGCGAAACAGGCTTTAGAAATGCTTCAAAAATATTGATGACAGCTATTCGGATGGAGATGGAAGACTGATGAAGACTGTTTGGTAGGAAGTGGCAGATGTATCAGTTACCCATCAGACAATAGCAAAACTTTTGTTCAAGGTTCGTATAGCACTGACCACACCTCAGCCGGTGCACAAAATGCAAACCAGAGCCTATGATCTACAATAATCACACAAAGATTGGCATTAAGTTTTTCTGGATCAGATGATTAGAAAGTCTTCTGTAAAAGCTCCAACTCGAAGGGGGCCTGTGGTTGTATTTTACAATCTCCTAGACATAGCAGCTATAAAAGCGTTGGTTTTGTTCGGGAGCTGTTTGAACGTCACCGTCTCACCCAGAGATTTTATCCTTGAACTGGTAAAACAGTGGGTGTCAACCACACGCGCCCCAGGGAGCCACTTGTTACCAACCCCTCCACTGCAGAAGAGCCAGCTTTGGCAAGGCAAAGAAAACTGCCAGCTGCGTCAGCGCTGCACAAAGCTGGTGTGTGGAAAAAGTGCGGGAGTAATCAATTTCTGTAAATAAAATATTAATTTCAAGCTTTAAACCTGTGTAGTATAAAAAGTCTCCTTTATTTTACTAATTTATTTTTAATACAAAGTTAGACAACAAATAATAATAGCATATAATACAGCCTTTAAACAATATATATTGGACCTGTTTTAAGGTTTAAATATCCAAAATTGGTTAATATGACAAACTGGAACCCTTTAAGTCAATGAAATCACTACTCTTGGATTCCATCTGGAAAAATGCCACCTGTCAAATTGGCGGCCAGTTGGAGTTCTAGTAGGATCAGAATTCTGGGAGTCCTAATGTCCTCTGATGGTTGAAGAGCAGAAAGTTCTCAGCTTAGTCTGGAAGAATCTCAGTCCAGCCAGTTGTTCAATATTTACCTATTTTATATTCATCCTGGGGCTATAAAGCAAAACAATGTCACCAGGTGAAAGACATCAGTAGTTAAATCCGTTGATTATTCTCCATCAGAACCAAATGTGAACAAGTATTTCATTTTCATCTTAATTCTAATGTTTTTTCCATCATGTAATTCCCAGGGTCCCCTGCGACTCCCACCTTCTCTATCGGAGCCGGATCGAAGCCGTCTGGAGCTCGCCAGAGGCTGCAGGCGCGACGGCACAACAGGAAGAAGTAGCCAACATTTCGAACGCATCCAACGCCGTTTTCAGAGGACGATGGCTCATCAGACTAATACGGCTCCATGGTTTTAGCTTCAACATCCTCCAATCGGGCTGTCACCATCCCCTCATGGTTTCCTTCCTGTCCTGTACGTGCTGGCCCAGACCATTGGGTTTGCAGAGGAGTTAAATTCCCCCCAGCTTCCTGAGTTCATGCTGCCTGAATAAGGGAACGTCTCAGCAGGAAGAAAGGATCCACAACAATGTGCTATACTTGAAGAACGACAGAACAGTCAAGTTTTTTTTGGTTCTGAACAGAAGTATATCCAAAGTTTCTTTTTCCTCGTCACAGTACACAGACACTCCTACTGATTGCTTTAGAGGAGACGGCTGAGTGTCGACTCAGACGTTTATTTTTTTACGTGATCTCTGGTTTGTATGTTACCGAATGTTTGAACACATCGAGTCTGAATAAGAGAAGTGCACAGCTGATTCAGATGAGGTACATGCGTGAAAATGTAATTACATTTAAATTATTTTTTTAATTGGCGCTCTGACCTTGTAAAAGAATGAATGAATGACGTTTCTGCACTGAAGGTGCAGCTCGGCTTAATGTCTTAACGTAGTTTTTAGCAGGCTCTCATGCTCTGATTTCATACCAGTAAACATTCCCAGAGTCCTCCCATGGATGGCCTTTTTCCTTTTTCTCCCTTTTTACGTTTTGTTTTCCGAAGCGTTTGCCAACACTGATGTAAGTAGCGGGTCAGTTTGTGATTAGGATGACTACTTCTGACCTGTGCAGACAAACCAAAGCCAACTGTTCAACTTCATGCCTGTGAAAAGAATCTGTGATTTCCGCTTCACCTTTAAATGCTGAGATGTATTTGTTTGTGCCAGACTACCTCTTTTTGTTTTTAATCCCAGGCACTGAAATGTTTTGTTGATTGATGGATTGGGTTTCAATTTTAGCTACTGAGCTGTGCACATGGATTCAAAATATCTGCACAATTCATTACTCCCGATTTCAAATATGTTGTTGTTACAGTGGTTTACTCAATGTTGACCTGACGCAAGGCTGTTTTCAAACGGACTGGATTGAGACAGTTGTGTACTCACGTTTGGCTGAAGTGTTGGGATACGAGGAGTTTGTTTTTAATGTATTGCACCATGTTTTCTGGACATTTTTGTCGGGTCTTTATTTCAGGTCGGCTGTTTCATCAAAATGGTTTGTTTTCTCAGTAATAACCGCTCTTTTTGTGAGACCTGAATAGCATCTGAGTTAGTTTATGGCATTTTTTTTTCCTGAATAAATAAAATCAGAGTTTGATAATTGAATGTTCAGTCTTAACATAAATCTCTTAAGTTTTGGGTGTTTTTCTGAGACTGGGTGATTGGTGTCTTGATTTATTTTTAAGTGAATTGATTGTAGGACTACACTTTGTTAAATTGAACATAAAAATGTGTAAAAATGAAAGAGCTGTCTGTATTCAACTATTAACAGACATCCAGTGTTTAGATAAGATTCTGCATGATATGAATGAAGATGGCTGATGTTCCCCATGTCACCAAGTGATCCTTGAAGGTGATTCATGGCAGCAGGACCTTCACACAGGTGGGGTTTTAAAATTCATAATGATTTTTTTAGGTTTCTGTCAGAACATATTGGATTATCTGGAAGGTTTCCATGTTTGGAAAATGAAATGGTTACCCATGTCTGATCAGCTTTGCAAGATGTCCAGCATCTTCTCAGTTTATAATAGACCTCATGTGATCCTAAAGAACAATATTAAAGTCATTCAGAATTTTTCAAAAACGTTAAACCAACTTATCAGTACATTTTAGATTTTACTTTACACATTTAACTGATTCAGAAGTTGGCAAATAAAGTAGCTGTATAATTGCTCCAATAGCTGATTTTGTAATGTCAGATCTAGAGATGCATTTCTATGTGCATTCTAATACATAAATATTTTTCTGTCATCTTCCATAACTGAATAAGACATTGAACAGAAGAGAAGACAGTTCTGCATTTTGTAACTCAAATTTAGTTATTTTCAGTGTGTGTTAATGCTTCAGGACTAAAGACGGTGCTAAAGTGTCAGTGACCAGAAAAATGTCCTCTTATTTTATTTTGTATCGCCACAAAAAAGTCAAGTTGGTAACAATCTGAAAGAGGGTGTTACATTTTTTATATGTTTTCAACCACAGTGGATATTTTGACTAGATATATTCCTTAAAAGATCAAATGGAATATAAAACTTTAATTGGCAGAGGTTCTGACCTCCAGATAAACTGAATTAAAAGACTATTTGGCTATATTTTCATCTTACCTTTACTGAACTTTATAATTTCAAACAGAATTACATTTTCTCCTTTATAATATATTAACCAGTCTTTGTTTTTGCAGCCCTCAGCAGTTTTCCCACTTCAAATGTTGCTGCATAAAAACGTAACTTCATTTCTGGGTAATTTTTTATGTATTTTGTGATCAATAGGCAAAATATTCTAATGTCGAAGAAAAGTAGCCTACTTAATGCTTATTACTATCATAGCATGTTGAACATCTGTAAAAAATACAGGAGCCTGTAAATGTGATAATGCTTCAGTTTTCAACATTTGATTTAAATACAGCCAATAAGCAGGAAAACTTTATTTAGAAATATTTTTTTTTTTTATCCAACATTTGAGCATGAAGTTGTATCAAAAATACTAGTTAAGTGATGTAAACTGTTCCATTCCTGTCCTCTAGGTGTCCCTCTAGGCTAACTTGGTTGTTCATGATGCATTTGTGTAAAATCAAAAATCACACTTTTATGCATACCAGTGAAATCTGCAACACAAACTAAGATTATAAAATTATTTTATGTTTCCTTCAAACTGAACCTGTGGCGAATCCATAATGTATATTAAGAATTGGGGCGCCATTTAAATATGTATTTCTAAAAACCGTCGTCGGTTTTTTTAGGAGGAAATCTTCGGCGAGTCCTTCCAAATCGATTTAATGAACGGAGCAAAATTAGCATAATGAATGTACTAAATATTAACAATATTCTGCCAGTAGTGCTATTTGAGGTCATGATCTGAAGCTCACGAATCCCTTTTTTTTATTTTTTGGTAATCCTGGTGGATACGAGCTGAGTTTAATGTCCTTGAATCCACCATTCACGCGACAATCTGGCGCGCATGCGCATTGTCTTTTTAGAATGGGCTAACTGTTAGCGTTGTAAAAAAAATACGTGGCATACGTTTCAACATGGAGATAGCCGCACTTTTTGCCCTGACTTTATTACTGGGTGCACTTGTTATTTTGGTCGCTTTGGCGGTGGGAAAGAGAAAGGAAGAGGTAAAGGAGCAAGCAGAGCAGGCTGCCGAAAGTTCAGGTGAGAGAAGCTCGGAGCTCATGTAGTCGGCGGCGGCGGCACCGACTGTCGGAGATTCATCTCCGCCTGTCCCCCGGATGACTCATTCATTCTTTATTTATTTCCTGTGCAAAAGAAAGCCATTTTATACTAAGTACCAGCCCTGAATTCAAATAAATTAATTGGGGGAAAAAATATACAGAAACTAACTTTTAGTCACCTGCTGCTGACCAATGGTGTAATGTTTTATTCAGCGACCAATGGGAGCACAGCTTAATGCTGCGTAACGACCGCTTCATTCATAGCAAAGATCACAAAGACTGGCAGTGAAGGATGCTTGTGTATTTTATCAGCATTTAGAAAATGATTTGAAATTAAAAAGCGGTTTGAACATGATACATTACACAGTTATCCTTATTATGTTTTCTTGAAGTAATTAATTTGGAAATATTTAATATAAAATCTGAGGCCACAACAACAAACAAGCCTATCTACACAAGCAGATGTTATATTATTATTACCCCATTTTCATATTTTTTTCCCTATGTAGAAACATTTAAATGATCATATATATATATATATATATATATATATATATATATATATATATATATATATATATACATTTACCTCTATCTCCTACAGCTGATATGTTGATGGCTCTATTAGTTTTATTGTAAATTCTTCCCCCGTTACCTAGCAACCAACATTCTACCAAGAAATCTCTGGAACTCTTTGGCTAATACAGAAAAATAGCTTTCGGAAGAAAGATAACTGCGAAACAGGCTTTAGAAATGCTTCAAAAATATTGATGACAGCTATTCGGATGGAGATGGAAGACTGATGAAGACTGTTTGGTAGGAAGTGGCAGATGTATCAGTTACCCATCAGACAATAGCAAAACTTTTGTTCAAGGTTCGTATAGCACTGACCACACCTCAGCCGGTGCACAAAATGCAAACCAGAGCCTATGATCTACAATAATCACACAAAGATTGGCATTAAGTTTTTCTGGATCAGATGATTAGAAAGTCTTCTGTAAAAGCTCCAACTCGAAGGGGGCCTGTGGTTGTATTTTACAATCTCCTAGACATAGCAGCTATAAAAGCGTTGGTTTTGTTCGGGAGCTGTTTGAACGTCACCGTCTCACCCAGAGATTTTATCCTTGAACTGGTAAAACAGTGGGTGTCAACCACACGCGCCCCAGGGAGCCACTTGTTACCAACCCCTCCACTGCAGAAGAGCCAGCTTTGGCAAGGCAAAGAAAATTGCCAGCTGCGTCAGC